CATAATGGTGATGTGTCAGTGGCCGGGCCACGTCCAGTCCATCGGCCGACCTGCTGCTTCACTTTCCCAGCTTCCTCTCCCCGGTTCAGACTACAGGGTGTCGCCTCACCAGCCTTCCCTGCCTCTGCTCCCAACTCCACATCTATGTTGCTACCCTGAGCGCCCCTGGGAGAGTGGCGCACTCTCACTTACCCAGGTTCTCGCCTGCCTGACGGGCCCCACTTCCTCTTGCCGGGTCCCTCCCACCTCTGGGCGTCTTTGAAGAGCCGGCTCCGCAGTCCTGCACGGGACTCCTCCGGCTGGGAATCAGAGCTGCGGGCACACCGCACATGGCCTGGCTGGCAGTCGGCCGCAAGTGTTGCAGGGGTGAAGCTTGCTGTCCTCCGAATTCTACCGTAAAGAAAAGGTTAACCAGGAAGTGTTTCTGTATAGTTCAAGAATAAAACTCAGTATATCTCCACTTTTCCGGGAGGTAAATCATAACCTTGGTTTTGTCCAGCAGCTCTGCCTGCCAAGGATTTCTAGGATATGCTCCTTTTCTCTCTCCTTTTTCTACCTCTAGTAGAACTTAATTTTGCTTTGATGATTGTCAAACTTAAAATGTCATCCACTCTTTAGCATTTTATAGTTCACAGTGCGACATACAGCTCTAGCGCATAAAAGGCCATCTCTGGTACATCCAAGGCCATAAATCTCTCCTGTCCAGTCTCTTTCACTTACTTTTACGTAGACTGAAATTTCTTCAAAATTTTTCTTGAATATTGTTCATTGTGCCTCTCTTTGCTTTAGTTCTTTAAAATATATTTAATTGAAATGGACAATAGAGCATAGGAAAAGAACTAAAACTTTAATTATTTGGTCAGAAAAATGTAGGCCAAGACCCACCTTAAGGGCTTGGACCCAAAGCAGTGACTGTAAATTCTGAATTTAAATATTGAACAGGGCCTCCCTAGTTAGAAGATTTGTCCCTGAAATTTACCGAGTTTGGTAATCCATTCATAACAGAAGTGATCTAACAGAAATATTTCAACTAACACTAAGAAACTGTCTTAGCACCTTTAAATATTTATGTAACTGAGGCCTATTACATGAAACTGCTTTAAAAGATCATTTCAAATATTTTTACTTACTAAAGTAGATCTTATAAATGATCATGCTCCAACATTCTAGACCAGACCAGATCAGTGGCCCTACATAAAGTTGAGTCACAGTTTTATGCCTCTTTTATTTCCATACTGACCTCAACCTAGCTGTAGAGATGGTTTCACCCTCTTATAGTTACTGGTGAGCCAGAGACACAGTTTCCTGAGAAACAAATGTGTCTACTGAATGTTACATTATTACACTTGGTACAGGTGTAACAAAACACCATCTATAAATATTCTGTGCCTCCAGTAATTACGGTCATTAATTGGTTTGTTTGCCAGCCTGTTAAATCTAATGAGTTGTGTTTTTAACTCAGAAGACAAGAGAGAATTAAAATCAGGACCCAACCTTAATGTTAAAGGCTAATCATAAAAGAAACTTTCTTTCCTTTGTTAATATTTTGACTTAGAAAAGACCCGTGGCTCCCAGATTTTCCGGATTTTGAAATACCGTTCTCCAAGGTGGCCCACTTTGTTCTAAAAAAGCACACTGGGGTTTTCAGCACAGAAGTCCAATTTAGAAAGAAGAGTGGGGTTTCAGTGAGTCAGAAGAACACCCCTGCTGTTGCTCCGGGGCGCAGCTGTGAGAGGAGTCTGCCCGGGCTCTGCTCTGGTCTCAGCTGGCGGGTGTCAGTTGCCACCCTGTCTGCTCAGAAACCCCCGCACCTGGCTGCAGTACAGATTCTCCTGTGTGTGCAGGAGCCTTGCTGGCTTGAGCATCGCAACTGGACTTTGTTTTGTGCTGTGGACAGATTTCAGAAAGACTGTGACCTCTGCGTGCCGTGTCACTCCCAGAGCACCCAGAGAGGCCTCAGCCTCTGAGGTCTGAGCACCAAAGGCAGGAAGAAAAGGCAGGAAGGACCTTTTGCGGGGAAAGAGAGTACAAAGGCTGAAAGAGGTTAACAGTAGCAGCTGGCCTTAAAGTAGCTGGATTTTTGGGGAGCCCTTTCTTTGTAGCACTAGCGAAGTCTTTGACCTAAGGACCGGGAATGTATCTGTGTGTATCAACGTCTCTACCATGTCCTGCACTTGAACCTGTTGGATGTTTTGTAGACATTCGGCAAATGTATGTAAAACTCAAAGTAGAGTTCAGCAGCTTGCTCCTTAAATCAAGGTTGGAATCTCCATTGTATTGCTTAAAATTTTGATGGTAGATGTCATCTCATTAATTCTTCCCCTTGGCTTTCTTTTGCCCTACCAAAAAATACTGCTTAGATTTCATTATTGAGTGTGCATGTGTGTGAGTGTGTCTGTGTGTGTTTGTGTTACGATAACCAAATAAACTACTTAAACTCAGTTTTCCAGTGGTAGGCTCACAGACTGTCCTCGTTCCTCACCATTTGATTGGCTGAAAACATTACTAAAGTAAAACTTTACTGAAAACATGGAAACATAATTTTCTTAGCTTCGCTTTTTCTTAGGACACTTCATCTGTGACCAAGGTAGTGCAGCGGCAAATGGCTGGGGCGGGAGAGGGGGTTTGTTTTCTCAGCCCCTCTCCAGCCTGCTCCCCTCCTCCTCTACCCTCATCTGAAACCTGAGGACTTGGGTCAGGCCGCCCGTGACACCGTAACATCCGCGGCATTTCAGCAGGCACAGTGAGGGCGGGAACCAGACATGTGGGCCTGACTCTTGATAGTCCTGTCCCACATCTGTGTCCCAACTCTCGGTATCCAAACCACAGCGTTTCAAGTCACACAGCCTGGGTTCAAGTCCTGGCCAATGCACTCCCAAAAGGCCTCAAATAGATAAGGTTCGAGGTTTGTTTCTGGCCTCCCTTAGAGGGTTATCATAATACTTTCCTCACTGCACTGCACTGCAGGGAAGGTTGGGTGTAGGAACAGGTACAAGTCTTTGTCAGTGGTAAAATGCACACAATATCAGTCATGTTGTTGTTGTTGTCACTAACTCCGTGATAGCATCACAACTCTTCCTAGAAAAGCAACCCCTGAGAATGGAGTTTGGTGCATTCTGTGGCTGAGACAGAAGAAGGTGTTTCAGTAGGTGCAGCACTGCCAAGTCCCCACCTGCAGGGACCCAGCAGTCTCTGTCGGGACCTAACCCAAAGGGCAGCCTATTAGCACTGTGGCTTCACTTCCTGTTTTGACTGGTCCTTTTCTCCCAGCCCTGCTGAGAGTGGAGTGGAGAGATTACGGCTGACGTAGAAGTGTTCCAGTTTTTTAGATAGGGCTAAACCACAGAACATGACTTCATGTTGAAGTACTAAGAGAGACAATGTAATTGAGACCCTTGGAAGCAGTTATTCTTGCCAGTATTTTTATTCAAAGGTAAAGAAAATGTCAACATAGTTGGAAAAATAAGTAGATACCTAGAAAAATAGAAATATCTTTCTTTGAATGCACACACACACAGCCACCTGATCTATGACCAAGGTAGTACAGTGCCACAATGAGGAAAAGACAAGTGGTTCTTGGTTAATTTGACATTCAAATTGGGAAGCAAAAGCATCTTCACTTTTATTTCCCATAATAACAAATCCAGTTCTCAATTAAGATCCAAATAAAAGATAAAATAATAAAGTTTGTAGCTTTTAGAATAAACATAGAAGAGTCTCATCATGATGTTGGAGTAGGCCAAGATTTAAGTGGAACCCCAAAAAAGGATAACCTTACCAAGAAAAAAATGTTGTATTGAGTTTAATTAAAATCAAGAACTGGTTTACTACAAACACCTTAAGACAATGTAAAGATGGTACAGAATGGGAAAATGTGTTCGCCATAAATGTAGTGGGCTGAAGATCCATTCAGCATGAGTGAAAACCTCTCCCTCTCCGTCTGTATGCATACGTACGTGTGTATGTGATGTATAACTCCAGCAAATCAGCAGGACACCTCGGCACAACAAAAGCAAAAGATGTAGATGATTTGCAAAAGAAGATTCAAAAGGCCAGTAAGTGTGTTAAAGGGGATTCATTGCAAAAGAAGATTCAAAAGGCCAGTAAGTGTATTAAAGGGGATTCAACTTAATAACCCTGGAAAAACAGACTAAGTGTGAGGAAGTACCACACCCCCAGCATAACAAGTAAAATTTAAAAACAGAAAATACCAAGTATAGAGATCATTTGTTACACACTGTAGAAGAGGGTGTGAATTGTAGGAACCATTTTGGAAAACTATTTGCTGATACCTACCAAGTTGTATGTGTACTCTGTTACCTCACAGTTTCACTGCTAGGTATGCACACAACAGACCCGCATACAGGTTTTCTCTAAAACGCATGTACTTGGGTTTTCAATGCAGCCCTATTTGTGGTAACCAAGACTCTAGAAACTTCGGGAAATGAATGGCCATGAAGGAGGTGAATAAACTATAGTACATTAATGCAATGGAATGTTGTAAAGGAGCCGTGAACAACTACACACAGAATCATGGGTAGGACTCACACCTAGTGAGCAGAAGAGGCCTGATGTATACACTGGATGATCATCCGTACAGAGAGGAAAAGTAGATGCACCAGTAAACCAGTCCACACTGCCAGGGGTCATTGTGGTTCCCGCTGTGGAGGCCAGGACCGGGACACGTCCCAACAGGAGCTTCTGACCCGCTGGTAGTGTTCTGGTTCTCGGAAGGGTTGTATTTGCACAGTTGTGTTCAGCTGGTGAAAATCTCTTCAGCATATTCTGTACCTGTGACAAAATACGTGTGTATGTTACATCTGTAGATGGTCACACAGATTGCCATTTTTGTATTCTAATAGTAGTATGATTACATTTTGGAAACCAGAACTCTTTCAGAAACCTGTGCCTTGCTATAAATTTTTCAGTTGACCTTGTGGGTCTATCTGAGCTGTAATTTTTTAATTAAATTTTTTTTCTCTCTCTCTCTCTTTTTTCAGGGCCCTCCTGGTCCAAAAGGTGATAAGGTAAGAAAATGGATGGCAGAACATAATGAAGTTGTTAGAGACCCTTATGGGCATAACCTATACTGTGTTATATTTTGACCTTTTAAATAAGCATCACATGTAGACTTTGGCTAAAGCTGTTATCTTACCTTCCTGTGTTCCAGGGAGAACAAGGTGATCAGGGACCTCGGGTAAGTTGTACTTTTCCTATCCCGGGCAGAGAATTAGTTTGCAGCTCTGAATGTATTAAATGGAAGTACCCCAGCCTCATAACTGCCCTTGTGCTGCATTATTTAGCAATGGTTGATTAAAATCCCATGGCTCTTGTAAGGCATAAAGGCTCAGTAATAACTAATATGTGTATTTCCTGCATTGTCTTAACGTGATGCCTGTGAAGAGAGCATGCTACAATCATTAGACCAACTGACCAAGGGCCAGGATCACCCCTCACAGTCACCAGTATCCACCTCCCCAACCACTCCCAGGCCCTTCAGATTTGCATGCACTGTTTTGCAACATTAAAGCCATGTGGTGTTCTCTTGGACCCAACATTTTCCTGCAGTTGAACTTTACGTGCTATTGCATAAGTATGTTTTATTATAGATAAAAATATTAATGCATTCCTTATATTGTTCTTCATCATAGGTTTGAATAATACTCATCTGCATTTCTTGTTTTTTTTGTGTGTGTGTGTATTTGTGAAGCAGATAGAAGGTGTAGCATGACTCGGCATTGTGAGAGGAGGGGCATTCTTTTGTTCTTCCCCAGCGCAGCCCTTTAAACCGTTACAGCCCAACCCGATTCCTTTGTTGTTACCTTGGTGGTGCCAAGTCCGCCGCTGCGCATCTGCGCCTGATTACCCGGATGTTCAGACATACTGTTCCAATGATGTAGTGGCTCTGTTGAGACATACCTTTCAATTTTCTCATGTCACTATGCACAACAGCGAGTAATTGGCTGAAGAGAGTAATTTTGTACAGTGAAAAAGCACATTGAAAACTTTCAGGTTGAAACAGAAGGGGAGAGGCCTTTACGTAAAAGGCACCATGCTTAACCGTTGCACGCGTTTGTACTGCGTAGAGATTCTCTTTTCTTTTTGCAGACGATTCAGTCCATGCCCACTTGAAAGGTTCTTGCCTTATCTCATGTGTCTTAAAGCAGTTAAAGATGGTGCTGTATTTCTTGTCTTTCTCTTCTTCATACAGAAGTGAGGATCCCACCTGAGCATTCGGTTTCTCATGGTGATTATTCTAGTTGATGACTAGCATCAAGCTAAAAACCCATCTTAAGTCAAGGAAATTAAATATCGTGCCATCTGCTGTCATGGATGTAACGAAATAAAACCCAGAGCCTTAAATGAGGAGACTGCAGCCACTTCTCTGTAGGTCTCCTCCCCGCACTGAGTTGCGTTTCTTTCCACACACGGTATCGAAATCACTCAGCTTGCCCTTTCCAGGTAAGAGGGAAACAGTTTCCATTCGGCGAAATCTTCTTTTGGCAAAGGAAGGAAAGGCTGGCTCACAGCCTGGCTGTCATCAGTGCTCACACAGCCCTTGTTTTCACAAAGGTGCATTGGCTTTCATCGTCGTGAAAAGTGATGATGAATTGGAAAGCAAGGCCGAGTGTTCAGGAGGATACCCGAAACCGTCTGAAATTCACCTGGTTTCATGTTGCATTACAAATGAAGACTTGGACCAGGTTCCTTGAAGCTTGGCCAAAAGTTCATGAACTACTTTGTCAAACCCAGACTGCCCTTCAAACAGATTGCAGTGTTTTCACACTGACCAGGCCAAGTTTCACATGATTCGCGGGACATTCAGCATTTGGGCGGGGGGGCGGTAAATGGATCCTGCTTTCTCCCTGTTTTACCGTTGTATTGAAGGAACTCTGATTCAATTCTCGGATGTGTCTTTCGGGGTGAATGTTCTAGAAGGTGCATGGAAAGAGAATTCTTCATCTTCTCCCAGATTCCCATGTAAGGTTCTCAGCACTCCAGAGTTCTATAAACATTCCTTTCAGAGAAAATAGTATAAGCTGGCTTATTGGGAAATTTTGTCATATAAAGACACTTAAGATTTTATATTTCTAGAAAAGCAGAAGTAAGATAGAAATGAGGAAGCCATGGATTCTAGTGAAAATGAAACAGCTGCCTTTTAGGTACAGAATCCCAGCAGATGTTGGCTGTCTTTCTTTTGAAGTGTAGATCTTTTTATTTGAACACTATTTTTATCCAACTGTATATTTTCTTCCAGAAAGAACTTTATTTCTAAAAACAGGCAGTGGACAAATGAATGAGTAAACAAAAATCAAATGTGTGCACCATAGATTGTAAATGCCACATCCGGACGTCTATTCCGTGTGATCGATTGCTTCTTGCGGTTAGCATTATGACTTCCAAACTCCAGCATTTCGGCCCTTTGTTGGGTGACCTTCCCCTGTGGGACCCCGTCCGTTTACTTGATTATAATGTGCTCAAAATTCTTCATTGGCTCCCTGTTGCCTACTATACTTTCTTTTTTCTTTGACTCCCTACATATCAAAGAATTTGTCATACTATGTGATCAAAACGGGAAAAGCTGAAAGAGAACACTGAAATTAAAACTAGAAAAACTATTTTGAAGGACCAGATATACATAAGAATGGATTTGAGGATTGTCACGCCAAGTCTGAAATACGAAAGACACTACTGTCTCCACTTGTTTCTCTTTCTCCTCTGTGGCTGCCAAATTCAACCTTCTGTTACCTCACACTCTTGGCGTCTTCCAATTCAGCTTCCTGCTTCTACCCTTGACCCTGTGTAATCCATTTTCTCCACAGCGGCCAGAGAGATCATTTTACATTGTAAATTAGGTCGTGTTACTCTGTTTAAAACGAGAGCGTGAAATCCTAGCCACTGTGCTTGGCCTCCGTGGACCAGCAAGGTCAGCCTCTTCACCTCTGCCCCTCTTTCCCCACCCCCTGTGCCCATGCTCCATCCACATCTTGGCCCCATTCTGGTCGCCTTGGGGTTGGTGGTGGTTCTCCTTGTGACAGCAGCTCACATATCAGCTCCTAGGGAGAACTTCCTCTCTGCCCAAACTGATCTGAGATGACCCTCTTTGCTTCCTTCATTTCCTTGCTTGTTGTCTGGAAACATTTGACGCTCCCCTTTTGGAGCACTGGCTCCATCAGAAGGACGTGACATGCCTTGTCTGCACCTAGACTGGGAAGCGCTTGGTGTTTGTCAAATAGATGTATAAATATTATTATATCCCCACTGTCCACAGGAAGCACATGGGCGCCTCAGGAAGGAAACTGTAGTCATGTGTCACATGCCATAAACAGCTATACCAAGGGACCCTGAAATCTCTGCCATTTGAGTTATCACTGGAGACCTTAGAAGAGGTGACCCTAGGATTTGAGTTAGCTTCTGAAGTCAAAGTGAAGAGGAAAACATTACTGATTCCAGGGAAAGAATAGAGCATAAAAAGTATTACACAAATAGAAAATAGAATGATTCATATAAAGAACAATAACATTCCATTTGCCAAGGACATAGGTTAAATATTAAAAAAATAAAGAGGCTGAACTTTTTACTGACGTGATATATGGCATATGCATTTTTTAATTTCTTTTGTGGTGGGCAATCAGGAGCCAGTAAGGCATCCTGAGGACATCATTTTCTGTGCATCACCCCCGGCTGTGGGGCTGTGTTTGTGTCACATGATGTGCACCATCAAATGTCCTGTATACAAACCTGTTTGTTGTAGTGATCATTGAAGGACGAAATTGGGAAAGCAAAGACTCAGAGACCACATATGTTGGCTCCAGAGCAGAAACAGCATCACACAGGGCTCTGGTGGAAGAAGACTGCTCACATCATGGCGACCGGGGAGCAGAGAGAGAGAGGGGAGGAGTCAGGAAAGGAGATGCACCCTTCTGTCACACCCCTGTGACCGCCACTTCCAGCCAGGCCCCACCTCCTAGTACTGTGTTCAGCTACAGGGCCTTGTGATGCACTCACCTTCAAAAAGCCCCAACTCTGCACACATGGGCGTCATTCTGGCTCTGAACCCTGAGTTTTTCTTACACAAGTTTGGAGAACACATTTGATGGTGCTATTTTTCTAATTTTTTTCTTTCAAGGATATTTGTGATTATATTCTTTTGGCCATTATTTCATGTTGGCCAGAAGGCGTCTTCAGTTCAGTCATTGCCTCTATGTCTGTAGGAGCAAGGAGGATGAAAGGTCAAGAAAATGGGATCTTTTTTCCCCCATAATTTCATAGCAGACTTCTGCTCACGTCTCTCTGTCAATCTGTGTCTTGCATGCATCCAAAGCTGAAAGAGACAAGGAGTGGAAAAAGAAAGTGGGGTCGTCTCCCTAATGGGTTTGCCCAAGGTGGCAAGCAAGACCCGGGGTTCACAGAAGAAACCAGGGATGGCCCCTAGTGGAAGACAAGCAGGAGACCTTGGAGCAGAAGGCGGGATTTGGGCCCAGTCTGTTAGATTTGTGTCTAGGACTGGTGCCCACGCATGGAGGGGAGCCTGGTTGAAGTTCTTTTAAAAGTGTAGTAAGGCTGAAAGATAAAGATGTGAAAATTCAGCACAAATCTTGGCATTCACTGGGTGTAAGAGCCACAGTTGAAAAAGTTCCAGCTAGGGCTGAAGTTCCTGGCTTGATACTTGATAAAATGGGTCAGGAGAAAGTCTGGGGATAAATGATGAGTGGGATTTGAGTTCTGTGGAACTCGTGATTCTGATGAGGTGGTCACTGGAATAGGGAGCAAAGAGAAACATGAGACCGGGTTTTGAGGTGGTGACAGTTGGGTAGACAAGCTGTCCAGTGAGAAAGGAGACCACAGAGTCAGAGAAATGGTGAAGAACGAGGAAGGTGAGGAGAGGCCTGGGATTGGCCCCTTAGAAGTAGCCACGTTCAGGGAATAGGATAGGATGTGATGTCAGCTGGGAGAGGGACAGCCAGGTCTTGGCAGTGCATGGATAAAAGCATCTTAAGGACCAATGAACAAGGTTGTCAACAGTGTACTCTCAATAAAGAGAAAGCCACACCAGTGAGGTCTGTGAAAAGCTTTGGGTTTAGTATTTTGGAGCTCTGGGATGTTTTGGAAGCGCTTTTTGCTAAGGAAGAGTGGAAATCACACTGCATGAAGTTGGAGGGTAAATGATAGGAAAGTTGACCACCTTTGAATATT